TAGATTTAAAAGATTTTGGGATAATGGTATATATAAAGGGAGAAAAGAAATATATCGACTCGTCCTTTTCTCTGACACAGAATGCGCTAACAAGTAGCTATTGTGAGGCCCGTGTCGAGATGCTACTTGACAGCATCGTCATTCCCTTGAGCGGACCCCTCTTTAAATCAAGGATGGCCTCTTCCCTGCTCCACTCACTCTATATCTCTGTTTTGTGTGTACTTCACTCATCCACATAAAATTTCAATCCAATACACATGAGTCTTACATGCATACGCCCATTATTAATACTTTCTACGTGCGGGGTCTGAGGGCTTAACTTTACGATCTCTCTCTCGAAAAAAAAAAAAATGAGAAAAAACCCCTCTGGGGTATTACCAGGGCCCCGGCAAAGCTAATAGAACCGAAATTATAACAGCCCGATGAGCATGCGTCGACTGCTCTTATTCCACCTCGTTGCGGCTGAAGAACAGCAGAAAAAGGACAAAGCACTGATTCCTTAAGCCCTTTAAGACTCACGACCTCGAGTGTCCTCCAAGAAATACCTTTTGAGCCTAAAAAGAACTTTACTTATATGTAAAGTTCTATTTATATGATATATTTTGCTTCTGTTATTTTTATAACCAACTTCATATATAGTTTTCTATTTAATTTCTTGGACTGAAAGAAGACATACCCTTCTATAGGGTATTTTTACCTTCTAGGGCAGAAATAGGTTGTTTTACCCCCTATAAATATCGTCTAGCTATATTTGTTATAAATAAAATTTTTTATTTGATTCAAATAATTTTTCTCAAATAAAAGATTTCTTTGGAAAAAGGGCCTTCTATTTTATTAAAATTATTATTAAAGAAGAAGAAGAAGTAATCATTATTATTATTATTAGTTCATCACGGAGAAAAATGAAAATTGAGATATCGGACTGAGTATAAAACAATTGGAATAATTTCTATTACCGTAGGAATGAGTTGAAAAGTTTAGGTTTCTATCCCAAAAAGTTTTATAATGATTATCAATTAAAATGAATTCTAAACATCTTAGTAAACGCTAATATTTTCCTTTAAGCGAGTGCTATTCAGTTTCCGTGATTTGTTTTAACTCGTGAAGGAATAACTTTGAAATAGATTTTATGATCGTGTTGTAGAGAGAAATGTAATCTTAATTGAAGTCTTTATTAGCGGTTGCATTAATTGTGTACATATTAGTATTTTTGAAAGCAATGTATTATAAGTCGCAAGGTATTGAGAACAATTATTATATTTACATTTATTTCAATTCAGTTTTTCAATTATTAGAAACTGTGTATCAGCGTTTACTTGAAGCGGATTGTTCGCTCCAAGTTTCATTGGATTCATTCCCAAACAATTTTAGTCAGCCATATACTCATATAAGCACACAGCCACACAGGTACAGCAGAGATAGACGCGCCTGCGCTGTGCGCTCGTGTCAGTGTGTTGCTCACCATTGCATTACGTCCGGAACGAGCATTATAAACGTAATACATCCGCGTGTATATACCGCTATTTATTAATAATTTTGTGCGTGTTTTATTAGTTTATGATGAATGAATCAATGCTACCTTTAGACGTGAATTCGAGTGTGTCAATTACAAAATGGCTTCAGTTTCGTGGTCAATACATTAAAGCAGATTCTGTTCTCGTTATTCCAGACGAAAATGGTCCAAAATTTCATTCCATTCAATGTATTTTATTAGAAACTACTCATGAAGTGGTAGTAGTTACAAAAATCTTAAATCATTGTTACTATTCCAGACATTTTCAAGCATTTGAAATAACAAGTTATAGTGATACAACTTGGAATGTTCTGACGTGGAAAAATATTTTATCTAGTATTGTTTCACATAAAACTAGGTTGAATGACGGGAAAGAATATATTTTTAAAAAATGGATATAAATTTAAGTAGTTCACCTAGTTATTTATTTTATATTATAAGTTCTTTGTTCAACGAGATAAAAATTGTAAAAATAATATTTCTTAAATATTTGTAATAAAATAATTCTAACCTGAAATAATTGTCTTTTCTTTTCAAACATCTCAAAAAAGTTAAATATAAATTTTAAATCTATATATATTTATATGTATATTACTATGTAACAATACAATAAAAGTTGACTATAGATTTATAAAAGAATAATGAAAAAAAACAATTGTTTTTAAAATTTTTCAATTCATTAAATGTCAAAAACTTTAGTCAAAATAATTGTAGAAGGTTTCTTGATAGGTCTAAAAATTCACTTGAAAAAATCTACGAAATAAAAAAAATATCTCTAAGTGTAACAATAGTACTCGCATTATTTGTCCGAAAATGAGAGACCTATACAATTAAAAAAAATTATTTATCTATCACTTATTCTATTCGATATATTTATGAATATGTTTCCATGAGGAAGCAATTATTTTATTGGAATATTCAATTAGAAATTCAATAAAAAATCTAAAATCTAATAATTAAAAATATTAGAATAGTTTGAATTTTAAAAATCTTTACAAATGAGATTTTTATTTATCTTTATATGCATATATTTAAGTGTGGAATCTTTTTAAAACTTTTTTAAAAACAAAGCCTTTGGTGAAAAAGATGAAAAAAAACTTAGATTTAATTTTTAAAGAGATTCGATGTTTAAATATTTTAAAGATACAACAAAAATCCCTCTAAAAAGCTGCTTAAAATTAAAACTATTCTAATATTTTTAATTATTTTATTTTTAGATTTTATATTTAGTTTCCAAATTGAATATTCTAATAAAAGTAAATATATATACTTTTTATAGAAACATAAATAAATAATAATGAAAAATAGTTAGTTTATTAATAATCGCAAGAAATATGAATGCTTTGATTAATAAATATAATAATATAGGTTACAAAAAGATTGCAGTTATTGCATTAAATTTTAAATGAAACGATCCACACCGCTTTGCACACATTATAAGCGTGCTTGGACTCAGTTCCAAACTCGCATAAGAGCATTCTCCACAAGCGCCTACCAATATGTGCATCTGCTTTGGACTGCCTATAAGCAAGCGTATGAACCTAAAAATGTAAAGCCTATTAACGTGTTATTTCCCTTTTATCATTCATTTCCAAATTTTTCATCCTGGAGCGGCAAAGGTAGACTAGTTTGGGAATTATATCTAAATTACTAGTACTGGAGCCCAAAATTTTAAATCGGATTTCTCTGCGTGATTTGTACTTTTCTTGTAAATTCTCAGAATTTGGAAAAAGGGTTTACGATAGATATTGTGTGAAAGTGACTATATTTTTTTTTTTAATATTCTTGGAAATTTAACTGAAATGGAGCTATATAGTATATATGTTTTCTCTCGCGTTTGATAAATGATTCTTGACAGTTTTAAGATGAATCTAAATGGTGAGATGTGTTGAACCTTTTCATAATTTGTCGCTATTAGGTCAGCCTTTTCAGAAGGAGTTGTCTATTAGCATAATTGTTCACTTTTTATTTATGGCTTGATGATTTGATAAAGGTACATTTATTCCATACATGTTGTGTCTGTTTTCGAATATTGTTTTCTTTTCACAGAAATATTACTTGAATATGTTTTCATATATAAATACAGTGGATCTTGAATCAGTAATTGTCGTATTTAAAATAATTCACGGAGTCATCAGTAAAATAATTATAATTATTAATTAATTAATCATTAATTAATTAATTATTAATTAATTCTTAACAATTATATTTAATTATTTGTAATCAATATATTATATGTATCTGATTATTATATCAGTCAATTATTTTGTAAAATCCAATTTCACGCAGGTTAATTAATAATTTATTGTTAATAATTATTTAAAACTATAATACTTTTTTATTATAGTAGTTAATTATAATTAATTATTATTTAAGTAATGCAGTAAAAAAAATGGAATGAAAGTATTAAATTGCTAACGATCTCGAATTCGAAATCGCTGTAAAATCGATTTGTTTGCTTATATTTTAGAACACAAGTTGTTAGCAATAGGTATAAAGGTGCATCGTATGAAATCGATTCTGTACGATTTGCAACGCTTCCCGAGTTCCGTTCAGCTGGTTTCCGTTTATTTCGATGCGAAAAACGTATAAAACAAAATAAAATGACTCACTGACTTTTTTAATCTTCAATTTTTAAGTCTTACCGGAAAAACGACTGACAGTTTTATATTCTCAATTGTTTATCGTTTTTTGATTAGATTTATTATTATTCTTTTTTTATTATTTAGAAAATATTTAGAAATTAATGATAATACTAATAATTATTATTTAGAAAATAATACTAAATTATTATTTATAGAAAATAATACTATAAATTATTATTATTGATAATAATAATTATTAATATTAATTAATTATATATTAATATCTAGAAATAATTTTTATTTCAAATTTCTAATTGTCGAAAATTGTTGCTAATAAATTGTTATTGACAACGCGAATGTTCGCGTCTCTCACGCTATTCTCATAACTTCCACCTTCAATTATCTTTAACGATCTCTGGCTAGTGTTTGAATTTTGAACCGACGAGAAACGAATTGAAAATCAGTACAATGGAATCCATCGGGCGTATTGAAAACAGACAGAATAGACAGATGCGCTTTTTTCAAAAACGGTCGATCAAAAAGGATCTTTTATAGATACTGAAGATGCAACCCGGGCATCATTTAAAAAATCTAGTTCTCTCAGTCGAAATACAACGTAAAAAAGAAAATTATGATCTTATCGAAATAATTACCTTTTCCTATTGCAACTAAATCTTTTCTCCATTTTCTTTTGACCTCGTTACATATATTTTATTTATTATCTATCTTTATTTCATTAAAAAAAATTTGTTTAATAGTTAAATTCTTTTTTTCTATTACATTTTTTAAAATAAAATATATTTGATTTAGTTTTTAAATTGTTAATTTAAAAAATAATTTATTTTATTTATTTAAAATATAGGGAGGGAAATTTAGAAAAGAATTTTAAACAAGCAGGATAATAATTTTAAATAACATCAACTTTATTCGATACAGTTTGAATCGTACATCGTGACTTATTCCTCAGCACTTGGGCTTAATTAATTGTGCATCGTGGTAGGATTTAATTACATTTACAGCTAAGAGTGAGAAGAAACTTTGATTTCTTCCCTCTTTTTGTTTTTGATACTCCATATATCTTTTATTATTTCTCTCTTGGACACAATGGCTTGACGCATTAATATTCAGTTAATTGTGTCATTATTTTGTTCGTTGCAAGTTTTATTATATTGTGTATTTGAATTATGGATTTTTGTTTGTGCTTGAGTGGTTTGACGATTTTATTTTTGTTCTCCACGACAGCATTTGTCCGTTTTTGTTTTGTCTTTTTTCCTTTAATTTTTAAATGAACTTCCACTCGGCACAATGTACGGACATACTTTTGCATCATATATACATTATATATATATATACTCTATAGCATGTATACACATACTTAATTACTAATTTACGTACACTCGCACACGCGCTCTATGAATTGCTCCAAAATGTTGAGAAAATGGAAATTCTTTCCAGAACCGTATTTTAATGATTTTTAATGTCATGTGAAATATTACCACACAGTATGGTAAATTTAGTCATGTAATGTTAATTTTTCTGTTATAAATGAATATAATTTAGAATAAATAAATTTGGAAATAAATTTCGAAAGTGAAACTATATGTTTAAAATAATAATATTAAATAATTTCCATTTTTTTTGTAAATTGGAGCAAGTCATAAATTTTTTGGCAACGCGCCTGTGCTTTTGTGGCACTGCTTGTACGGCTCGTCGGCAGTCTTACTTTATTAATTACTAATAGGCATATGTAAATAATTTTTTAAAATTTTTTCTCTCGATTAGAGTATAGTCGTATCGTCATCGTCGTCTATGGGATTATTCTTTTTCATCCCAAAAATTGTACCATTTATTTTTTTGTCGAATTATTTAAAATAATTGTCACTTTCTTTTCTAAATTACTATATTTATTATATATTTATACTTTCTATAGGAAAATTGTTTTGGTACAGGAAAAAGACCTCTTTTGACGTTTTTCTTTTTTTTTTTTTTTTAAGCTAATACTAAATTCTTATCATCTAACAACAATGACTAATTTTTGAGCTACTAGTTTCGGGAACTACCGGGAGGTGAAAATTGAAAAATTATATATGCGTCATATTTATTTTTTTTTTGAAGAATTAAGTCGCGGTGATTCATCGTGTATTTAAAAATTAAGACGCGTCTCGGGAATGTTGTGTGCAATTCGAGCGATTTAATTGGCCTGAGCAAAAATTGTGCGTGAATTAAAATGCCTTTAAGTTTAAAGCGAATTGCTTATTCTCTCATATATTCTAAATTTAATTTACAATATAAAGAAAAGAAACGGTTTAAAATTTTTTTTTTTGTATCTTCATTATTTGAAAATTTATTAAATCTACATAATATTTTCAATAAAGCTAATAATAATAATGAAAGAAGTTAATTAAATTTTTTTTAGCATCTTAATTATAATTTTGATTTTATTTCACGATATGCATTCACTTGTGCTCCATTATTTTAAGTTTATTCAAACTTTTTAGATGATGCCAATGTTAAAAAATATTTTGTAAAATTAAAAAAAAAATTATTTGTATAATGTCTATAAAAAATATTTTTCAAATTCTATTTTTATTAGAAGATAAATAATAAATTAATGACATTTTTAAATGAGAAAAGTATTTATTTTAAAATTACAATTGTTTGTAATTTTTTTATTGATTTTTTAAATAAAAATTTTATTATATCTTTTGGTAATCGACCTCCCTCTTCGTTCCACGGGTTTTTTTTTATCTCATCATTTTTACATCTGTTAACGTATATTTTTTACACTGTTTTGTCCTTTTCTTCCGATTATAATCTAGAATTGTTATAGTATCGCATTTAACGGGATTTTCGATCATCTTCTTTGAGATAAAGTTTCAAAGAAACATGTTGTATCATATCTCTATATGATTTTGCCTTCCTTATAGTTTGCGTTCATATCTTTCTCCTGTCCTCATTTCATGTACTTTTTGTATTATATACAACTGTAAAAAAATGAAACTCAAAAATTCAAACGTCCGCAAATCATTTTCGTTTTTTTTTAAATAATAATTTATTTTCAATTTTATATTTTTGAATATGAATTATTAAATTCGATTTTTGAGAAATAGAAATTTGAGTTTGATATTATGAAAAATAAAAATGATTTGCTAATGGACAATTTGGACATTAGGTTTCGGCAAATGGATTTAACAAAGTGCGTGGATGCGTATACGTATATGTACTATCTACATATGTACAATGTAAACATAAAAGCGTACGTGGGAGTGTACAACAGCGGTGGTCAAAAATGTAGTCTTCAATTAACTTAATTATTGGAAATGAAAAAAAAATTTGTTGACAAAATGTCTTAGGAGTGAATTAAATGAATTATAATTTAACAAAAAATATCTTGTCAATGAAAAAATAGAATATATTTTAATTTTTCTATAATAAAAAGAAATAAATAAAAAGTAAAATATTTAAATTGAACAATGGAGAAAATTACATTTTAATATTTGTTAAAATAATTAAAGGAATTTTTCTACTCTTTTTTTTTTATAGAAGGTCAATGCATTTTATATAAAAAAAAGAGAAAAATTTATGTATTGTTTATGAAAATAAAAGAATATTTATGTCAACTTGAAAACAGACTGGAAATTCTGTATATAGATAAATAAATTATATATTTAAATATATGTACGATGAATAGTCGTACTTATGAGAAAACTGAAAATGCTAAAATGTCTTTTTCTATTGATCCGATAACGATGCTCAATTAAAAAAGAGCATCGACCGGTTTTTTATATAAATATATATATAGTTATACAATCTATTTTGTTTTAACTTCCGTAATATGAAGTTTTCAGCAATGAAATCTCGCAATATTAACAATTTAGTTTCAAGAATAATTTTAAATGAAATTATTAATTTTGTTTTACTGTAAATGAGAAATTTGAAAAGTTGTTGCTTTTTCATTTCGAATTAATTAGAATCGGATGCGAATTTTGTTGTGATTAAAAAAAAGATACCGAAGTTGAAAAATTGTATTTTTTTTTTTGTTCGCAAATTGCTTACTTCCCTAAGTCTTTTCCTGATTGCGATTACCCTCATTGCCTTGGGTCCAAAGTCACAACGAATGATAATCACCTAAAACGAGGCCACTCGGATAACCACCGTGTGGTGTTGACATCCCCATACCTTGATAGGAACCCATACCCATACCATTCATGGAAACGATGTTATTTGGGTTGACACTTGACATCGTATTAGATAACATTGTCGATGGACCCATGGGACTCAATCCGCCCATCGACGGCGCTATCGCTCCCATTTGCATTGGTGATGATGTATGGGGAAGGGACTTCTGTAGATCCGAGGTCGGAGTGATTAGATAGTCCTGAAAATAAGACATGACACATTTTTCAACCATTAACGTTTTCATCTTTATTATAAATAGTAACATCAACAGTATTTTTGTTTAAGAATTTTTTTTTTAAATTCAGATATGATTATTCCATAAAAATAGTTTGAATAGTCTATAGTCTAGTTCAATTCTACTTTCAGAATAATATGTTTTCGGATAGGTTGTTATTTCTCTTGTGTAATAAAAAATAAAATTCTAAAAAGAGGTACAGATTAGTATTTGAATAATTGCTAACCTGTGGGTAGTACTGGTGCATATAGTCGAGCTGTGTCTTTTGTTGAGCACAGCTGGATGGATGTTGTGCCAAGGTTGCCGTTGGATGAACAAGACCATGGGCACTGTGACCACCCTGTAGATGATGCTGTAACTGATGATGAAGATTTCTCTTATCATCACCACTCTCACTACTTGTGTCATGGGGTTGCATATGATGCGTTGAGGTATGAGAATGACTCAAGGTCGACGTGTGACCTTGATGATAGGAATGAGGACTCGAAACTGATACAGGATGTAGCAGTGGATACATATTTGACGCTTGTGGATGTTCCATTTGCTGTTGTTGTTGTTGTTGCTGCTGTTGTTGCTGTTGGACAGCACAAGAGGATGGTGTTTGAGGTGTTTGATCAATTAATTTATGTGATGGTGGTCCAATTGATAATTGTTTCGTGTCATCTCCACTTTCACAGCTCGAATCACCAAGAGTTCCACTGTTTCCCTTTTCTTCTCTTGGACCACTGAAATAAAAAAAAGAGATTTTGCTCATTTTTTTTATTTTGGTTTATATATATACGAGTGATAAAAATATGAACGGACCTGGACCAATTTTGAATGTAATTTATTGGCTTGTAGGTAATAATTAATTGTGTTGATTATAGTAGAATATACATATAGATAGGTGTCCAGGTACATAATTGGTGAGGATTTATGAGCAGAAAAAAAAGAGGAGACGCGCGTTTATGGGTGGATGACACCTGTGCCAGGCATGTATCAGACGAGAAAAGGTGAGAAAGGGATGGAGGAGGATGAGGTCCGATCACTCTCGGCCTTCTCGTAAACTTAATTTAGCCGGCTGGACCTCCTGGAAGTAGAGAGAGAAAGAGAGAGAGAGACTTATAACTGGTCCTTGTGTGTGAAGCCAGATTGCCAGGCACTTTCCTTCTCTCAACCTTTCGCAACTGTTAAGCGCTTGTTTTACAAGTCGTTTAGTTTGATATGGAATTGTCAGCAAGAGCGGGATGTTTTCTAGATTCTCTCGCGCTACCACTTAGATAAGGACTTGATTTGACATTCGCGAAGCTTGACATTCTTCTTTTTTTTGCTCTTCTTCTTTTCTTTTCTTTCTTTTCGTCATTTTATATATTTCAGTATTTCTTTTTACTGTTTTAAAAATATTCTTTAATCGAACCTATTTAAAATTAACTACTGGTGCGCCAATTTTTGGTATAAAAATCGTTTAGACGCACGTTATGGTGAAAATAATCTAGATTTTTTTTTTTTTTGACGCGAAAGGAAACGTGGATAAATTTATTATAAGATCTCGAAGAGATAAAGGGGTGTATACCTGGGGGTCATCTCTTTCTGGTTATATAGGTCCCCTGAATGCATAAAGGGTGATAGCAAAAAACGACACACGTTATATAGGTTTCAATTCGTCGGAACTTGGTCGATCTTTCTTGGGATCGCGAGGGTGTCTCTGGTAAATATAACTCTTCTCTGCGAACACCTCTTATAACGGGAGAAGAAACTATATGTCCATGTGCTCGTGTACACGTCACTGGATTTGTTGCTGTAACACTTATGTATAGGTGACTATATATATATATATACCCGTTTTCCCTTTAGATTTATAGTTACCTTGCATATTATATACCAAAAACCCCCACGCCATTCGATCTAAATTTTTCCACACAGAATCAATTCGTTATTGTTTTTTTTTCTAAACTTCCCGCAAACATTTGCCTCTTTCATTCATTTTTTTATTTAATTTAATAATTAACAGTGCAGAAAAGTATACTTTTATAGTGAGTAGCAGTGTTAAAAAACAGTTTAGAAAAGTACATTTTTCTGCACAGTGTGCAGTAGAGTTTTAATACCAGTGTTGAAGAGTAAAATTTTCTGCATACAAAACAGTGCGGGAAAGTTAAAAACAGTTGAGAAAAGTATATTTTTCTGCTTAGTATATGCAACAAAGTTAAGAATAGTATACAGAAAAGTATATAATTTTCCACATAGTATACAGAAAGATTATAAAAACTAGTGCAGAAAAGTAGAACTTTCTGCATTGTATGCAACAAAGTTCTACAAACAATGCAGAAAAGTATACTTTTCTGCCTAGTATGCAGTAAAGTTTTATTATGCAGAAATCAACAACTTTGTGCCGTATTTATATTAAATTAAAATTCCCTTTTTTCTTAATGGTGTTACTCAAAAATGTTTAATTCCTTTTTCTTGAAACAGAAAAAAATTTGCATATCAGACTGATGGTGGATTTTAGTATGTGATTGAAAATTGTCAATTAGAAATATTATTGAAAAATATTTCTTCTTTTTGTTTTTGTTAAGTTAAGGAAACTGTTTATATATATATATAGCTGTTCTTCTTTTTTGTCATATAAACTGCAGGCGTCGCATATTCTATATTGCATTCGTAAAACCACTGAGAGTACCCATTTTGGCTTCGTTGTAAAGTTACCTGAAATACGATTTAAGCCCGTCTATAGAGACAGACGACGATCGAGATTCGGATCAGAGAGAAGCCTTGGGGAATTTTTATTCATTGTCCAGCTCGTAAATTAACAAGTTATCTTGAAATTCCAAAAAGGCCTCTTCCAGCAGCCCAGTTGGGCGAGATTCACGCACTACTGTTGTAACGCATAGTCTTATATGATGAATCTTTGCACACCTCTCTCTCTCTCTCTCTTTCTCTTAAGACACACGGGAATTTAAATATCATCTGAATATTAAAAGAAAAAATGCACGAGAATTCCATTTAACAGTAACGTTCTAATTAACGAATCTTAATGAGTAATTAATGTTCAAAATAAATTTTTAAAAATTTATATTATGGTTTCAATTATTATGTTAATTATTCTAAGAATTAAATTCGTTTTCTCAATAAATTTTTTCTAAATGAATATTAATTATTTAATAAATTGAATTTTAAAAAATTAAATTAATTAAAAAATATAATTAGTCATATATATTTTTTTAAGTACTTGGGGGTATTTTTAGGGTGAGGAAAATGAGTAAAGAATATTAAAAGAAGTGTGAGGTGGGGTTCTGATAATCCTTTTTACGAGAAGGTCCCCGGCCTCTCGAGCCCTCGAAACAACCAGATCTTATCGCAGGCGATAAACTTAGCTACGAATTAGTGGAATCGCGACGCGATAAGATCTACGAATGCGTTTAGGCGCGCGCTGGCTTGGATTTATCGAGAAATTAAATTAGGAATTATGCTAATCGAGACCTCTGTCTCGTCTTTCTCTTTTTTTTTTTATTATTTATTTTTGTTTGTTTGTTTGTTCTATTTTCTCACACTAAAAACACACATACATGTTTTTACATTGAGAGCGAATAATTGAAAAGATATGCGGTTTATTTTTTTAAAGATTTATTTATTTTTTTAGGGTAATATTTTATAGAAAAGAAAATTGTACTTAATAATAAGAAAAAGGTTGAATTATTTTTTAATATTTTTGACGCATTTTAAACTGAAAGAAAAATATGATAAATTGAGAATAAACATAAAAGAAGGCCTAGGAGGAAAATTAACGAAGCGAAAGTCGTGTTTACTGAAACCAAAATTTATCTCGTGTTTAGATATAGGGCTTCATGTGGCAGGTGAGGCATTTATGGACCAGCAAAAGAAAATTATGAAGGGAAGCGCAGCTGATTCTATAAGTAGATAGGAAAAATTTTTACCGTTTAAAATAATAGGGAACCGACCTTCCGAAAACACATCGGAGGTAGCTTTGTTTACAAACTTTGATTTTTTTTTTGTCGATTTTTGCTACTAGTCGCCTTTCAATTTGAATAATCTGTTGGCTCGAATAGAAAACAGTTTAATTTTTGTTTTTTCAAAAATAGTTTTCGTTACAGTATATGTAAAAACTTTTCTCTCCATTCGAATGTTAGCAAATTTTATTTTTTCTTTAATGTCATCAATTGGTAATAAAAAAAAAAAATAACGGAAATTTAAATATCAAAAGAAAGTTAATATATTCGATGCAATCTGAAGAGATGTATATGATTTGTTAAGGACGTTATTACGTGATGGAAGTGAGCTTTAAGCATCATCAACCGCTAAATAATATACACATGTAGATAAAGAAGTTGAAGATATAGGGAAGACAGGTCCATGGAATATAATACAAAATAGAAATTTCAAAGGAAAAAAGAGTCAGTCGTGCGAGGGAATCGTGTTAAAACGCTTTTGGTGTTTCAAAATTCTTTAAGCCGGATTATTCTGTACCTGCCAATCGGTAGTTGGTTCTAGATTGAGAATACTTCACTATATTCTTATGGCTAAAGACTCTTTAAAAGAGGAAAAGTCGGGGATGCTCTCTTTATAGATAATCATTTCATCTAAATGACTGATTATGATTGTTATTGGAAGATATATTTTAAATATTGACAGGGGAATTTGAGTCTTCTAATTGATTTTCAAAATCATGAGATGTCATTCACTGATAGATGCTATAGTTTTAGATTAAAATTATATAGGATTTAATGGATTTTTCAATGTCGATGATGAAAATGCAGAAGTAGATGCAACTATTACACACGTGTGGTAACGTTCTCTTATAGTTAAAGTGGAAAAAAAGAAGAAGAAGAGAAAACGGGAATACACGCCCTTGTCTTTCCGTATTTACATAAGCCTTATGTTCATGCTAGCGAGTAACTCGATATCGTACAGCTACCCAAGAATACATGCGCTGTATATACGTATATATATGGTGCACGGATGCACTTATGGCTATATACTCATTTCAAAAATATATTCCCGCTGGATCCGTAACATCCGTCTAAGGAGGATTTTATTTTGTGTAATACGAGCAAAAGGCGATAATTCCCACATTTTTTTCAATTTACTCTCCATTTTTTCACTCTTAAATATATTCCGTTTTCCCTTTTTGAAAACATTTTTTTTTATTGTTTTGAAAACAGTATTATCCGTTTTGGAAAATCTATACTAAACTACAATGAAAAAACATACGTAAGTAATGTCACTTACTTATGTTTTTCCGTTATTATAGGGTAGAAAAAAAATTGTTTGTCCTTGACATTTTTATTTGATGACTTATCTTTTGAATACATATATGATAATATTTATAATGAAAGCAAGAATGTAAAGTATGTATGAATATATAGAATCTGCACAAGCTAAATTAAAGAGCATCTGTCAGACTTGCAGTTTATTACGTTTAGTTATGTTTTGAAAGTCCACTCAGCGAAACGTCAGTTTTCTTGAATCGAGACCACTTAATCGAGCCAGACAGCCTCGGACAAACTTAATTGCCTCATAGTATTACTAGGTCTATTACGTAATGCTCGCAAAAGACGTGAGCCTATGAAGGGTCTAAGGAAGCTATTAAGACGTCTAGTGTGCTACTCATCTTGTTACTATATTCATTTATATTCTCTATTTAATTTTTATTTTCACGTTTTCTCCTGATGGTAACTTTTGCTCCGGAAATAGAAAAAATTACTATACTGAAATAGTAAAGTTTTCTCCG